GATGGATGATGGATCCATGGATGGATCCATGAGGATTGAGGAGCTCTCAGCACCCAGGACCCGGCAGATGGAGCCAGGTTTGGGAATGGGATCCCCACTGGTGCAGGATTGTCCCTGTGCTCAGGGATGTTCCAGCTGCTGCAAAGTCCTTGGGAAGAACAAACCAAGCACTGGGAAAGAAAAGGAAAATATTCCAGCCTCAGCAGGATCCCTGCAGATTTGGGAGCCCCAGCCTCCCCTGGCCCCAGGGATGGAGCTGCCTGGAGGTGGGAATGGCTCCAGCTCCACAAACCTGGAGCACTGCCCCATCCCTGGAAGTGTCCCAGCTTGGAGCAGCCTGGGACAGTGAGAGGTGTCCTTGTTCCCAGGGATGAGCTTTAAGGCCCCTTCCTACCCAAACCATTCCAGGATCCCATGAAATTCCTCCCTCTGCTCCCTGACGCTCTCCAGGGCAGGGGGTGACACTCCCCTCCCTGCCAGGCACACGGGGGTTGGCTGTCCCCACCCCAGGTGACATTTCCTGGAGCTCATTCCCTGCTCCATTCCCGGCACGAGGTGAGGGGGAGCTGCCAGGGCCCCTCTGGATCCAGGATAACAGAGAAATTTGGGAATACCAGGCCATGGATTTGAGATTATCCCTCTCTCCAGGATCCCCTCCCCTTCCCCACCACCTTGGAATGGGAATTTCTGCGGTGTCTGAGCCGCCCCAAAATCACAAATCACCCCCTCCTGCCTCAGCGTGCTTTTCCCAGCCCTTATCCAGGAGCTTTTCCCGGTCAATATTTGCACTCAAGGAATTCTTGGTGCCTCCTCCAGGCCCGGGCACGCTGCCAGGGGGAGGGAGGGCATCACATCTGCACCTCCCTGAGCAAACTCCAAACTTTCCCTGGCCCCTCGGGGGCCCGTGGGTGCGGCCATGTGCTCCCGGAGGAAAGTTTCTCCTCCGTTTTTTTGTGATTAATTCCTTCCTCCCACCACGGCCGCCCGCAATCCCATCTATATCCACGGCTCCCCACTCCTCCTCGGCTGTAAAATATTTATAAATCCCTACATTAGGGCCCTTTTTTTTGCATTTTTTTTTTTCTTTCCCTTCTCCCCTGCTTTTCCACCCGGGCTCCCCAGCTCAGCCGAGCTCCAGGAACGGCTTCATTTCCATAAATCTCGGGGAAGCTGTGAGGAATAATTTCGGTTTTTTTGTTTTTTTGTTTTTTTTTTGCTCGGGGAATGCGCTGCTTTTTTTAATTGCACTCATCTGCAGCTCCTTGGCGATGCATTATTGATGGTTATTATTCCAATAAAGGAGCCGTTCCTGGTTTGTTTTCCCAGGGATGAGCTTGGAAATGTGTCTGCTTTTCCCTATTCCCTCTTTTTCCCCCCATTTTGGGAAGAGGTCACCTTTGCATCCAAGATTTTTACACCTATTTGCACCCCTTTTTTTGGTATTTCACCCCCTTGTTTTGGGTATTTCACCCCTCTTTTGGGTATTTAATCCCTTTTTTTGGCATTCCACCCCTTTTTTGGTATTTCACCCCCTTGTTTTGGGTATTTCACTCCTCTTTGGGGTATTTCACTCCCTTTTTTGCGTATTTCACCCCTCTTTTGGGTATTTAATCCCTCTTTTGGGTATTTCACTCCTCTTTTGGATGTCGCCACAGCTTTTCCCTGTGCCATCAACACCACTGATGTCCCCTTATCGTCACCCGGCGTTCCCCAAGCACCTAAAGGTGGGGGTTAGGGGGGAAAATCGACCTTTCTGGAAGCAGGAATGTGGAGAATCCCGGAGGAATGGGAATGTCTGGAGGCTCCGCGTGGCTTTTGCCACAGGGGCTGCCCCTGAGCTTTTCACCGCTGGTTTGGCCTCCGAATTTTGGATTTTGGGAGCGCCTGGGGATCTGCTCCTCCGACAGACCCCACAACGTGGTGAAGGTGACAAAAGTGGGGTGGTCCCTGCCCTTGCTGTGACATCCCAGGATTTCACCCCCAAGCTCTGTGCTGTCACCGAGATCCAGGTGGCACCGAGGGCACCTCCGGCTTTTTTCCAGCACCTTTTCCCCGCATCCCTGGAGGGAAGAAAAGTCCCAAAGTAGGGCTCGGGAGCTCCCCCGCCTCCCCAGCTCGGGGCTGACAGCTCGGGAGTGACGGGCTGAGCGTTTTTCTCTCTCTGTCACTTCGCTCCCGTCCCTTTCAGCACCGCCCACCGCGCTGTCACCGCCGGCTGCGGGGACATTCCTCGGGCCCACCGAGGTCCCCGAGCTGTTACCGCGCTGCAAACACCGAGTACAAGGTTCCTCCTTGATGTGAGGAATGAAACGAGGTCGGAACTGGAGGGGAAAATGTTCATTTCGGGACGGAGGGAGCGGAGGAGCTCCAGGGGGTTTTCCCCTGGAGTTGTTTCCCCTGGGAATTGCTCGGGGAGGGGAATTTGGGGATCCTGGTTGGGGGGATCCATGGAAAAACACGGATCCAGCATCCTGGAATTCTCTCTCATCCCGCCCAGGGATGCTCGGGAAGCAGCAGCCCAGAGGCTCCTTCTGAGCTGTCGTAAATTTTGGGAGGATTTAATAACAGGCCCTAAACAAATTTAAAATCCTGCCGTGCCTCCAACCGGGAATGTGCAGGGATGGGGAAGGGAAAGGCTCTCAGGCACTTTGGTGATGAGTTCCGTAGGTGAGCAAACAATTTCGTCTCCTAATTACAGCCATAAAGCAAAAATCCCTCCCAATCCCCAAATTCCTCCTCTGCCTTTTCGCTTCTCCTGTCAAGCCCCTTTTCCCCCATGGAGGAGCTGCTTAATTAGGAATTAACGGGGCTGTCGGAGTAATTGGGAGCAGGAATGGGCTAGGAGAGGTTCATTAGTGCGGTGATGGCTAATTAGCAGTTCCGTGGCTGCGGGGATTTTTTTTTGGGGGGGTCTCCAAAGGCTTTGGAGTGAGGGGAAAGCCGCGAGCAGAGCAGGGAATTGCTGAGGATGCCGTGGGACCGGGATGGGACCTTTTCCATCGGCATCCCAAATTCCAGGCAGGAATCCCAACCTTGAACAGGCACCTCCGGGTGCTGCAGCTCAGGGATGAGCAGGGAGAGGGAAAAGAGGGAGAAAAAGCAGGGAAAATCCCTTAAATCCCCTTTTCCAGCAGCTCCAGCTCCGCGGTGCCCCCAGGACCCGCCGGCATTCCCGGCAGAGCCTCTCCAGGGTTTATTTAATTGATTTTTTTTTTTTTTATCCCCGAGCACGGCGAGTCACATCCCTGGCGCTTTCTCTCCCTATATTTAGCCTTTGAATGGAGAGAGATTTTACAGACGCCTGACTCTGCCTTGTGCTCCAAAGTCACTCAGTGTTTCCATGAGAAACACGGCGGCTCCAATCCCGGAGCTCCGGCACCGTGACAAAAAAACCTTCCCCGCGTATTCCAGCGGCGCTGGATTTACCCCCTCCGCCCCCTCCGGGGATGAGATCAGGATCTGGCCCCGGGTTTTGATGGGTTTGTAACTTGGCTGATACAACTCGGCTGATTTAATTCATTTTTCGGGCTCAAAAACTCCACCTACAAGTTCCCAGCCTGGGAGGCATTAAAGGCAAATTAATCCAAATATTAGAGGCTGGGTTTAAAGGGAAATCATTAGGGAAGTCAGATTTTTTTTTTTTTTAATTTTTTGAGGGAAGGGCCTGGTGGAGATATTTTCTATTTTGGAGTTATTTATTTTACCCTGGTGCTGCTGGGTCACCTCCAGGCCTGGCACTGCCCAGGCTGGGCACTGCTCTGCTTCTCTGCCAGAAAAGAGAAGAGAGGAGAAGAAAAGAGGTGGCAAAAATCGGGATGACAGCAGAGATTCCCATTGGGATTTAGTCCCTGATGGAGAACTGGGGTGCTGCAGGGCACTGGGGGAGTTTGGCTGATTTTCCAAGGATTGGGAAGGAAGAGGCCTTTGGGATGAGGTGGGGATCCAGAGGAGCCTGAAACAGGCACTGGGTACAAGGAACAAGAGAATCCACTCAGGAATCCCTCCAGGAATCCACTCAGGAATCCCTCCCCTATCCAGGAGAGAGCTCCTGGCTGGATCCCGGCTGGGAAGGGGGATTTGATCCCTGCATGCATGGCCAGAGCCACGGAAAAAAAGGGAATAAAGAACAATCCAGCCGTGATCTGAGGAGGACAAAGGCACAGCCCAGCCCTGCAGGGGCTTCCCGGTGGGATCCAGAATCTCCTTCAGAGCTCCTGACAGGAGCAAATCCAGCCTGTCCCTATTGTCACCCCAAATCCAGCCTGTCTTCATTGTCACCCCAAATCCAGCCTGTTCCCATTGCCACTCCAGAAACCAGTCTGTCCCTATTGTCACCCCAAATCCAGCCTGTCTTCATTGTCATCCCAAATCCAGTCTGTCCCCACTACCACCCCAAATCCAACCTGTCCCCATTGTCACCCCAAATCCATCCTGTCTTCATTGTCATCCCAAATCCAGTCTGTCCCCACTACCACCCCAAATCCAACCTGTCCCCATTGTCACCCCAAATCCAGCCTTTCCCCATTGTCACCCCAACAGCCAACATGTCCCCACTGCCACCCCCGTGGCTGTGACACCTGCAGCTGCCCCAGGGCTGTCCCCTGCTGCAGCTGCGGGCTGGGGCTGTGACACGAGTGGCAGCTCTGCTGGCTCAGGGGTTGTGTCCTTCCCCTTCCTGCTCCGGCGTGGGGACACCTCTGTCACCACCCCGGCGGTGGCCAAGCCACCAGGAGGAGCAGGTGGCCTGTGGCTGAGGGTGGGGTGACACCAGCACGGGCACAGACACGACACAGAGTGTCCCAAAATATTCCATGAAGGAATTTTTCCCGGCTCGATGCTGGCTTGGAGGTGACACTGCCTGGCTCCCGCCAGGATTTTCCCTTTTCCTCCATGTGCTTCTCCTTAAAAAAAAAAAAAAAAATTGCTCTGAGGCTTTTCACGGTGCTGCCACTGCGCAAAAATCACATTTCCCACACGGATTTTTGGCCGCTCCCTCCCTCCACCACCGCCCCGGGTGCTAAACCTGCTTTTCCCCTTTTTCAACCCAAACCCGGGAGCCGGAGCCGGCTGCACATTCCCGGCATTGCCGAGCTGCCCTGCTCGCACACACGGCTTCCCTGAGGCAGGAAAAGCTGATTTCCTTCCAGGAGCCCCAATCCAGATGGTCGGAGATGCTTTCCAAGCTCCCAGAACCTGTTGGAAAAGGCCATTATGTCTCAATAGCGCTTTTGCATCCCGGCCCGTTGGAAGCGACGCCTGCCAGCTGCTCCAACACCTCTTTCCCAAGCTGTTCCGGCCTCATGGAGAACCAGTCTGGTCAGGCTTGGCTGATTTTGGTGAAGGAATAAAATCTCCCTGTTTATTCCCATTTTTTTTTTTGTGTCGGGCAAGCGTGGAGCAGTTCAATGGAAGAGGCCTGGGGTTGTTTTTTGAGTCTCAGCGTTCGTTTTTGTCGTGAGAATCCCCAGCCCTGAAATGTTTTATTTTCGAGGAATAACGCTGTGAACTCCCCAGGAAGATGCCGAGGAGGAATTCCCAGCCCTGGGCATTTTCCTCCTCTCAAAGCAAAGCTCAGGGCCAGGTCGTGCTCCAAAGGATGAGGAGATGGAATTAAATCCAAAATTTAATTACTACTCAAACAACATTCCCTGCTCCAAAAGAACGCCTGGATCAGCGGGAAGGTCCCTCCCGGTGAGCTGAGGGAGGGATTTTGTTGGAAAATGGAGAGGAGGAATTCCCAGGGTTGGGTCCCCTGTCCAGCCCCGGCTCTTGGGAGCGCTCAGGAATGTGGAATTCTGGAGGTTCAGGCCCTCAAGGGGGGAAAAAACCGTTGGGATCGCTAATGAGGGGCTAATGAGAGGCTAATGAGGGGCTGTGCCCAGCACGGGTGTTCCACTGGTTTAACTGGAACCGCTGCGAGCCCAAACTGGGCCTCCGGGAGGGGATTTAAGGTGCCCCCTCCCAGCCCTGCTGGCCCCTGCCCTCAGGCCAAAGCGTTTCCGTGCTTTGGGAAGGATTCCATGAGGAATTTTATCCGGGTTGCTTTAAAAAAAAAAAAAAGGGGGTGTGGGGGTTGGTCATGCTGGACCCTCGTGGCTCTCAGGGTGCTGGCACCCCCAAAGTGATGCTCTCAAAGTGGGTCAGACCCGGGGGATCAACCCCAAAACCACTGTAACCCCACAAAAATCCCCAACTTTGTCACCAAATTCCTTCCTTCCCGCACCCGGAGTGGGGAAGGGGTTTGGGCATGAGGGTGCCCTCGTTTTTTGGGGTGCCCGCATTGCCCTGGGGATGTCCCCACACTTTTTGGGGGTGCACACCCCACTCTGGCCTGGGGGTGGGGGTCTCCACATTGCCCATTGGGGTCCCCACACTGCTTGGGGCTGCCCGTGGGGGTCCCACATTATTTGGGGTCTACACATTCTCTTGTCCTGAGGGGTCCCCAAACTTTCTGAGGGTGCATCCACCGCCCTGTCCAGGGTGTCCCCACATTGCCCAGGGGTGTCCCCACCCTGCTTGGGGGTCCCTATATTACCCAGGGGTGTCCCCACTTTTCCCGGGGGTGCACCCACCACGCCGTCCAGTGTGTCCCTCCTTTTTTGGGGGTCCCCTCATTGCCCGAGGGTGCACCTACCGCCCTATCCAGTGTGTCCCCACCTTTTCTGGGGGTGCAGCCAGGACCCTGTCCGGTGTGTCCCCACCCTGCCCGGGGGTCCCCACTCTTCTCGGGGGTATCCCCACATTGCTCGGGGGTGTCCCCACCCTTTCCATTCGTGCACCCCCCATCTTCCCCTGACTCCCGGCCCTGTTTGGGGTCCCCCACGCCGCTGTCCCCCTACCCTGCCCCGTTCACCCCGTTCCTCTCTCCTTCCCCCTTAAGCCGCCGTCGGGGCGTGCAGCCACCTTAAGGGAGCCCCTCCCCCGGCGGGCTGGGACGAGCCCTCCCCCTCCGTGCCCGCCGTCCCCTCCCTCGCCGGCCCGGCCCCGCACGGCCCCGCACGGCACGGGGGTTGCCATGACAAGCATTTTCTCCCGTTAGCTCCGGGACCGCTGCCCCCCCTCCATCCCATGGCCAGTCGCGGGGGCTCCGCCGCCAGCCGGGCGCCGTGGGACCGGAGCCGGTGAGTGCGCGGGGAGACCCCGGCACAGGGGTACGGGGGTCCCGCGAGGGGTTCAGGTGCTGGGGGGGGACACACGGGAGTGGCGTGGGGTGGCTGCGGAGGGTTTTTTTTTTTTTTTTTTTGTTGGGTTTTTTTTTTTTTTGCTTTGGGAACTTGATTCATGCAGCCTGAATTT